GGTTGAATTAATATCTACCCGTTGCTTTGACCTCCATGGGCAAAGAACAGGTTCACTTTAAAGAGACCCTGTCACCACTTTAACATGTGCATGTTACCTATTTTATGCATGTTATGCTTTATGCATGCTCCTGTGTAGACATCCAACTGCTGCTGCGTGCCGCCATCTTGGATGCAATGTCAGCAACTCAACACTCTGAATTACCGTGTTTCCCCGAAAATAAGACACTGTCTTATATTGTTTTTGGCTCAAAAAAACACACTAGGTCTTATTTTCGGGATAGGTCTTATTTTTTTTTTTCTTTTATGTATAACACTCCAAAGTTAATGCAAATCCAAATTAAATAATCCAAAATGGCGAAGTGCGCTTTCACTATGGATTCCTCACAGGCGGAGTGCATTTGGTATCACTCCGCCTGTGACAGGAGCCGGCGCTATAGAGGAAACATCGGCTTATGCGGCTCTGCTCCCTCCGGTGCCGCCTCGCTTCCTCTAGCGCTGCCTGCGTTGGCACCGCTGATTCTCTCCAGCAGTTCTTCAAGTTCCCCCTTATGCCACCACCGGCCCTGGGAATGGTCACAACTAGGTCTTATTTATGGGGTAGGTCTTATATTTTAGCAATTCCCAAAAATGGCACTAGGTCTTAATTTCAGGGTAGGTCTTATTTTTGGGGAAACAGGGTAGCTCTGGGAGTCATCATAAACGGACCAGCCAATCAGATTCAAGGTGTTAGAAGTCTATCTATAGCCAAAACTTTTTAGAACTTTTGTCAGGTTTACCTGCAATCCAGGGCTCCGTTAGAGAGATTTCACCTCACTTCCTGTGCTGGGGACAACCTTTTTACACACTCCAGCAGTGTCCCCGGCTTTCTCCTTTGTCCAGCGGTCCTCTGAGTCGAACGCTCTGTCATTCTGCCGATTTCCTGTGTGCCCGGCCTGTGCCCAGCTTGTTGTTTATACACCCCCTAGGGGGCACATGGTACTCCAGGACTGAGTGGCACTCACGTAATGACATGAGTCCAGGAAGAATGACGCCCCCTGCTGGAGGAAGAGGAAGCTGCTGTGATGTCATCAGAGCTGCCAGAAGACCAAGAAAAAAAAAGGTATGTATTGGGGTCCTCAGGGTGGTCTTTGGGGAAGGGGGAGAGGCCGGTTAAGTCATAATGTCTCTCTGACTTTTATTACTTTATTTCTTTGCCGCCGTTGAAGAGTTTCCTTCACTTCCTCTCCAGTGAAAAGGTTGCCCCAGGGACAGTGAGTAAGGGGAAATCTCTGTAACGGAGCCCTGGACAGCAGTAAAATCCAACAGGGGTTCTAATCCTTCCAAAAAATCCTTCCAAAAAAGTTTTGGCTATAGATAGACTTTATTTTCCGGTGAAGGTACGATGAGGCACGGGTATGGTCACAGTCGCCTATACTTTCATATTCTCAGATGTCCATTCAGACTTCCTTGTCATCAGGGGCCCGGGTATGGTCACTGTCCCCTATACTTTCATATTCTCAGATATCCATCCAGACTTCCTTGTCATCAGGGGCCCGGGTATGGTCACAGTTCAGGGGCCCGGGGTATGGTCAGTCTTCTATACTTTCATATTCTCAGATGTCCATCCAGACTTCCTTGTCATCAGGGGCCCGGGCATGATGCCCATCTAGACTTCCTTGTCATCAGGGGCCCGGGTATGGTCAGTCTTCTATACTTTCATATTATCAGATATCCATCCAGACTTCCTTGTCATCAGGGGCCCGGGGTATGGTCAGTGTCTTCTATACTTTCATATTATCAGATGTCCATCCAGACTTCCTTGTCATCAGGGGCCCGGGCATGATGCCCATCTAGACTTCCTTTGCTGTCATGCTCCCCACCAACTCAGCCTTTAGATGGTAATCGCCTCATTAGCGACATCATTGCATACAATGCGCTGTATATGAGGCGACTGGCAACAAGAAGTTAAATGGTTCGGTAGCATGAGGTTAATCTCCCGTTTCGCCATAATTGGAAGTGCGCATTCATAATACAAGCCGTAGGCGACATCGCCGGAGCTGCAGATGGTTTTTTTTAACACATAAAATGTGCAAATTACAATCAGGCCCGGCGCTACCGCAAGGCAAGTCAGGCGGCCGCGTGAGGGCGCTGCAGGGTGAGGGCGGAAAAAACAGGGCATTTTGACAAGTACTTGTACTTGTCAAAATGCCCCGATGTTTGCGCTATGGTTTTTTTTTCACTTACCTTCGGTGCGGGAGAGCAGCGGCGAGTCAGCGCTGGTCCGGTGGGAGGAGCTCCAGGTGGGGGTCCTAATTTAGCTGGCCGGCGACTGCCAGAGGATCTCGACACGCGCGGCACCTCAGGCAGTCGCCGGCCAGCTAAATTAGAACCCCACCTGGAGCTCCTCCCACCGGACCAGCGCTGAGTCGCCGCTGCTCTCCCGCGCCGAAGGTAAGTGAAAAAAAAAGATGAATGAAATGCTGTGATGGAACCCAGATCTGACCAACTCATGAGCTGGTCTGTGGACTTGCTCAAGTACCTCTGTGCAGTGATTGGCCCAGAAGATCATCCCATGTCAATGACCCGTGATAGGGAGGGCTGTAGACACTCCATAGAGCAGGGCTAGCAAACCTCCGGCCCTCCAGCTGTGGTGAAACTACAAACCCCATGATGCATCTCTCTTCGGGAGTCATGTCTGTGGCTGTGAGAATCTTGCAATACCTCATGGGATTTGTAGTTCCACCACAGCTGGAGGGCCGGAGGTCTGCTACCCCCTGCCATCGAGGAACAATGCAGAGCATACTATAAAAACATAAAATGCACATTACAAATACAAAAATCTACTAGTGATGTTTAGCTTTCCCTGACCGTTTTTTCTAGGTGAACCCATCCCCATCTCCTCTCCTCCTCCTCTCTCTGCGGACGGGTTATACACCATCTACGAGGCCGACCACGGAACGCAAGAGCGCAGTCCCAGAGGGGCGGAACTGGGGCTGGTGGAGCACATCATCGGGAGAACTTTGTTCCTGGCTGCCTCAGAAGGCGGGATGAAGGGAGGAGTCAAGGGTCAGCTTGAACTGGGAAAGTGGGCAGAACTGTTGTCTCCCTTGGATGAATCGCGTGCCAGCATCACATCAGTCACCAGCTTCTCCCCTGAAGGCGACGTCTCCTCGCAAGGTGACTGGACAGTAGTGGAGGTGGAAACATTCCACTGAGGGGGGCCCTTGCGGAGCATCGTGATGAATGTTTAGGGTAGGAGCTCCACCTGTGAGAACCATAGCATAATATGCAGGGTGTGAGCTCCGCCCATGAGGTGCACTATGAAGCCATGTAGAACAGCAGGAAGGAGCTGTATGCATCAATGTGCAATATGTGAGTAATGTATGCGTGTGGAGCTTTGCACTATTTATGGTTTTTTGAGGTTGATTTGAATTCATGTCCATTATGAAAACTGTTTTTTCTCAAATAAAAAGCTTATACTTGTTAAAGATCTTCGAGTGTCCAGGTACAATACAAAAGACCATTGCACTCATGTTAAAATACACGTTTCCTTTTAACCTCCCTGGCGGTCTGATTATGCAGTATCTTTGCATGCAAAGCGGTACAATATATGTGTGTAAGGAGTCCACTTCACTTGACATATGACCACAGCTGGTAGGACCTGAAGTGTGCCATGGTCCGACGGACAGTAATGCCAATAAGGGCACATACTCAGATAGTGTGAAGAGTGAAATGAGGTGAACTCCTGACTGAAGAACCCAAGGGATGGGTGGGGG